TGCCACCACGCCCAGCTAATTTTTTTGTATTTTGGTAGACGGGGTTTTACCATATTGGTTAAGATGGTCTCGATCTCCTGACCTCATGATCCACCTGCCTCAGCCTCCCAAAGTGCTGGGATTACAGGCGTGAGCCACCATGCCCGGCCTAAACTTTTTAATTTATGGATTATTGAAGTGTTAAAGGTATCAATCCACAGTAAAGGCAGCTGTGGCCATGGACAGGCTTTTCTGAATAGAGTACATTGTAACATAGTTACATTCTGCTTGGTCTCTGTAAGACTCCCAGGCATGAAATTTGTATTTTTCTGACTTTTTTCCCCCCATATGCATTTTAAAAAAATCTATTTTAGACTTCAATTCTCCTAAATCCTTTACAAGTTTTCCTGGTATCTTTCAAAATACCTCAATCTGTAACTGAAGATAGACCCTCTGCTAACATCCAACTGTTTTTCTCATTTAAGAAAATGTTGTTTCCTACCATAAAGAACAGATGGTTCCAAGACAAGAAAAAAAATAGCAGTTGTATAAAGCAAAGAATCTTTATGGAAACAAAAAATGTGCAATGACAGTTCTTTGACTAAAAAAAATTCCATTCTATTTTTTTCTTTTGAAACAGGATTTCACTCTGTCACTCAGGCTTGAATGCAGTGATACAATCATATTTCATTGTAGCCTTGACCTCCCAGGCTCAAGCAATCCTCCTGCTTCAGCCTCCCAAGTAGTTGGGACACAGGTGTGCACCAGCACACCCAGCTAACTTGATTTTTTTGTAGAGACGGGGGTCTCCTTTGTTCCCCAGGCTGGTCTCGAACTCCTGGGCTGAAGCAATCCTGCAGTCTTGGCCTCCCAAAATCCTGGTATTACAGGTGTGAGTCACCACACCCAGCCAAAGTTCTATTTTCTTGGTTAGTAACATATGAATATATAAACAAAAATTGAGCAAGCAAGTTTGATAAAGATTAAATTTATGAAATTCTATATCCTGCTATTATGCTATCTTTTAATAATACGGAAAACTTTTGAGGAATTTGTTTTATTGTTAAATATTTCTGAATATTAGGAATAATTTTCTTTACATCAACTCAACTAGGACTTAACTAAAATTATTATTAAATGTGTTAGAAGTATTAGTATTAAAATTACAAAACCATTTAACTTACCAACATATCCTTTATCAGGGGCATCTGTTGGTGGTGCTGCAAATTCCTATAGTAGCAAAGAAATGTTTCCTATTGAAACAAGCTACTGAAAAATTATGAAGACAACTTAGCAATCAGTTATGGAAGGCTCTATCAAATATCAGCTTAGGGAATTGTGCCAGGGCCTCTAAGGACATTGGTGCTGATCCTCACAGTAGCTCTACAAGATAAGAAGGCACTATAGTACAGTGGACTACACTATAGTGCTGCTCATCAAGATTACCTGGAGATCTTTTGAAAAATAGTAATTGAGTTTGTGCCCCCACCTAGTAGCCAAGAATCTTAATTTATTCCCCACATGGTAGAGCCAGATTTAGGAATTGCTGCTTTAGTGGTAAACAGCAAAAGCTCAGCTGGGCACGGTGGCTCACACCTGTAATCCCAGCACTTTGGGAGGCAGAGGCGGGTGGATCACCTGAGGTCAGGAGTTTGAGACCAGCCTGGCCAAGACGGCAAAACCCCGTCTCTACTAAAAACACAAAAAT